GGCCACTGTCTTCCGAGATTTTTATGTCCACAATGTCGTAAGTGATAGTTTGATAGTTGGTGAGGTTCTTGGAAAACAACAATAAAACTTCGCAGATGGCGTCGTCTTTTACTGATTAGTAATATATTAGTTCATGGTTACTAATTTCTTGACAATCTGAAACAAATGACATGAAATTTTGCTCGTTTACGACAAGGCATTTCGAATTTGGAATAATCATTTGGAAAACATTGCTTTTAGAAGAAGGTAAAGGGAAAAGTTGATATAAATTGTAATTTTCTTTCCCCACAATTGGGATTTCTATGATGAAAATAATTTTATTGTTTTTACTTCAACCTTTAATTTGCAATTTCTAGGATTATTTTTGTCATATTAAATTTGGCGATTTGGTCCTCGTTCAGGATCTTAAACTAGCTGGATTTGACGATATGATCTTTGTTCGGGATTTCCAAACTTTGGCAATATTGGCTAGAGATTTAGGTATTTCCCAAATCAAAGATCAGGAGAAAGGTCCGTTTATTTTATCACTAGGGCAGTGATGAAGCAGTTTGTAATCTCTTCCAGCAATTCAAAACTGTTTTCTATTTTAAAATTCTTGATCACGCGATTTCTTCGAGTTTCACAACATTTCTAATGATGATCTCATGAAAACCTGCATGGACTTAGATATTAAGTGATAGGTACAAGAGGAAGAAAGTTTTGTTAAAGATGTAGACGATATACAACTCTTTAATGAAATTACTTCATTCAAAGATATTTTTCCAGGTTAAAAACAGCCAATTGAGGTATTAGAATTTATAGTCAAAAATGATCTCATTTCGTTTTCCAAATTTTGCTCTAGTAATAAGAATTTTTTTAAACTTACTTTTGTTTCTGTGATTTCAGATGAAAGAGTTATTTAAAGAGTTAAAAAATACTTGAGAAAAATTACACAACAAAGGTGTTCATATATGGCCATAATCTCTATTGAATTCGAAAAAATTAAATTCAGCAAAATTATTGACAAATTTGCTTCTCAGAGAGCCAGAAAAGTTATTTTATAATCAGTCCTGGATCTGTATGTAAAATGTAATATGAAACCTACCTACAGAGCATATATATCCGCGGAACGAAGAATACACCTGCAGAAGCAAAGGGAGTACAATCATCGTTATTTTACTGCCGATTCACCTAGGAAAAATTTTTAATTAATACGACGTGTCCTGGGGAACTAGAATCCCCAACTAGTCTTACTGGCTATGCCGACAGTAAATTAAGAATGGTTCTAATTAATATTCGATCAATACGGAATAAGACTGATGAATTGTATTTGCTATTACAGAACACTGGTTACAAGTTGGTGAACCAGTTTTTGTCGAAAAATATACTATCGTCAGCAGATATGATAGAAGTAATACAGACCATGCTGGAACTCTAATTTTATCCTTAGACAAGGACTTTTCTGCTGTATCTAAATACGACTTTCTACAAGCTGAAAATTTCTTCGAATTTTCCATTGTAAACAACAAAAACATTGATTTGTTTATTATTTGTATTTATAGAACACCTAAATCAAATGTTCACCTCTTTCTAGAGAATCTTCTTAATCTACTTGACGCATTGCCTATAAAAAGTAAGAAAATTTTATGCGGCGATTTTAATATTGACTTTGCTAATGTATGTGCTACTCAAAAGTCTTTGATCAATATTTTTGAATCATTCAGTCTCACTATGCACGTAAATTCTCCAACTAGAATCACAGAAACAACATCTACAATTATAGATTACGTAGTCTCTGATTTTAAACCCGTTGATGTAGAGCACCAAGTAATTAGCTCAGGTCTCTCAGACCACGAAGCAGTATTTGCCAAATTTTTGATACCCCGTACAGCTCCAAAAAAAGTCTGTCAGCTAGGTAGAATTTTCTCTAAGCATAATTTCAAAAATTTCTATAATTTATGTCTAACTACTGATTGGAATGGTCTTTCTGAAGATATTGACTCTAAATTTTTAGACTTCTTAAATAAAATAATTATGTGTTTCAATACAGCTTTCCCCCTTCGCCCCATTAAAACTAAATGTCATAAATCTTGGACAACTAAAGGAATAAGAACATCATCTAAAAATATGAGGTCACTCATGTATATTAAAAAGTACACAGATAATCCCCTAATATTAAACTATATCAACAACTACAGAATATTGTATCGGAAAATCACCAAATCTGCTAAGAAAAACTATTACAAAAATCGCATCGCAAGAGCTAAAAACTCCTCCAAAGAAACCTGGTCTATAATAAATGACTTAAGGAATAAAACCCGTTCTTCAAACAGTGTAAATCCTAGCCCAGATGAACTAAACAATTATTTCGTAAATGTAAGTAAAAATATCAAATCTAACATAGCTCCGAGTCAGGATGCTCTCTCCTTCCTTCTACCTACTAAAAGGATCACTGAAAGTTTCTTCCTAAGACCAGTAGACAAGCATGAACTAGTGCAAACCATAAACAACATCCAAAATAAATTTTCCTGTGGAATTGATGGCCTGTCCACCAAAATATTTCTAAATATACCGGATGTAGTAATCAACATTTTAACTTCACTGATTAATGAATCCTTTGAAATTGGTCTCTTTCCTAACTGTCTAAAAACAGCTATAATAATCCCACTTCATAAAGGTGGCGACAAAACCAAAACCTGTAACTATAGACCTATCGCGTTATTGCCTACCTTATCGAAGATAGTAGAACGGCTAATGAAAAACCGTCTTTTACCCTTTCTTTTCAAGCATAACATCCTCACAGCTCATCAGTATGGCTTTCTACCTAAAAAATGCACTAGCGACGCAATGTTTTCCGTTCTTAATGAAATATACACATCACTTAATGATAAACTTTTCACCGCTTCAGTAATTTGTGACTTCGCAAAGGCCTTCGATTGTGTAAATCATGATATTTTGATTAATAAGTTACAAATTTATGACATACGGGGTTCTCCTTTACAATGGTTTAAAACTTACCTAGAAAATAGAAATCAACAGGTGCGGGCGAATGGTGAGGATTCTACAAATCTAGCAATAAGCAGTGGAGTACCTCAAGGATCAGTATTAGGTCCAATTTTGTTTTTATTATTCATCAACGACATCACAGACTTAAGAATAAGTGGTAGAATTACTTTATTTGCTGATGACACCAGTGTAACCTGGAATAATTCTAACATGCAGACATTACAATCTATCATAAGTGAAGATCTAGTGACTATTAAGTCCTGGTCTGATTCGAATGGACTTTGTTTCAACACCAGTAAAACTGTAGCATTGTCTTACAGAGGTACTTTACAACCTATAACTTTAAACAATAATCTGATCCAAACGGTGACTTCAATCAAGTTTTTAGGTCTTTATATAGACGATTCTCTAAAATGGTCTGCTCATACCTTAGCAAAAAAATTATCCTCCGCATGTTTTGCCATTAAATCGGTTTCTAAAGAGCTGACTCCTTCTACTGCATTAATAACCTACTTTTCCTTATTCGAATCTCACCTTCGCTATGGTTTACCTTTCTGGGGTTCTTGTAGCTTATACCTTTTCGAATCTATTTTTAAACTGCAAAAAAGAGCAATCCGCTATGTATTTGGTTTAAGTAGTAGGACACATTGCGAAAATTACTTCAAAAATTTCAAAATTCTAACCCTTCCTGCTCTATTTATTTTCGAATCCGTCTGCTTAGTTCGCAAGCACATTCAAAATTTATCCGAAAGACCGACTCGTAGATATCCTACAAGAAATTTAGAGACTGATGTTTATTTAACAATGCCCACTTCTGACCTATTAAAACATTCCATTACCTACAATGCCAAAAAATTGTATAATAACCTTCCGATGCAATTAAAATCTATAAATACATACGATAAGTTCCGAAGACTGGCTAAAGCTTTTCTTCTAGAAAGACCATATTACACAGTAGCAGAATTTTATAACGTACCTTAGACATTTGAGTTCCACATACAATGGCATTAATTAAATAATTAAATATTAAAGTTTAAATTTAAATTTAAAAATTAAATTAGAATAATTATAATGACGGATATTGCATATCCATTGCAATTGTTATTCCTATTTTGTCTGTTTGTTTCTGTTTGTTTTTTCTGCTGTTTAGTTATTTTTTATAATATGTTTAGTATTTAAGTTACACGCTTTGTCTATAAAATTTTTGTAAATTTTGTTACGACAATAAAGCATATCTCTCTCTCTCTCTCTACAACTAAGACGTTAAGGAAAATTTTGAAATAAATCGATGGGGACTTCTAGATAGCAAATTTATTTTAGTTTTAGACAGAACTACTTTATTTTATGCTTTTTGAAACAATTGAAGATTTATAGGCCTTAAAAGTAAAACATGCACTTGCGTCATTGTTCTTCTGGAGAAGCGAAATTTCTTAACTGATTGTGATTTTATGTTATAGTTATTAAATAAAAAAAAAGAAAAAGGTTTCTTTACAAGCAGTTTCTTTTTAAAGAAAAAATCATCAGGCCCTTTCAAATTCTCACCTTTTTTATTTATTTCCACAAGGCTAAATGATAAAATCTTAACAATTATTTAATGATCTAAAAATCATTACTTGAACATAGTTGCTCGCTAATGAGAAATATTGTCATAAAAGTGACTATAATAATAAATAAATAGGGGAGATATGTACAAATTTTAAAGACATTTTTTTCTATCTTTTTAATGATTTAAACTGGATAATAAATCCTATTTGAATAGAAAATAAATTTTACGCTTCCAGTAGGCTTAGTTTAGAATCATTTCTCGTGGATAATTCCGTATTTTGGTAATTAATTAAAGCAATTTCTTATTTCATTACGTCCCACTTTCCCTGTGGATTTTAGGAAAACTAACCAAAAGAAATTTTGTTAATATGCTATATAATGAATTAAAAACGACTTAGCAATTATTTATTTTTTATATCACCAAAATAAATACAGTTCGGTCAATTTTTTTTTGAGTGCTCCTGTTCAAGATGTTGGTGGAAAAAGAACAAAAAATTGAAATTCAAAGACCAACTGGTGCTGTTAGAATTAGGCAAAGGTTTAATTGGTACATGTGGTTTTGTGGTTTTGTTGGTATGTTTAAATTCTTTTATTTACAAAAATCTAATTTAAAACTGTTTATAATATTATAACATTCATTAAGAGTTGTAACGTCAATTTAATTTTAGGTTTGAATATACAGGGTGGCTCACGCTCAACGGGACGGAGCTTTATGGGAAAACGACCAAAGATATAAAAAATTCGTTTGGGAGGAATACGTAGGTTACAAACGGCTACAATTTAAAATTTGTTAGATGTATATAGGATGTCCCACATAAGAAAAAAAAAGTTCATTAAAAATTATTCAAACAAGAGTAAACGATTAATTTCTGGGAGACTTTTTTTCCTTAAAAATTCAAATAAATCGAAAACTAATAATAATAGTAATAGGGAACCTTTAGTTAACTGACATTATTTTTGATGTAGTTTTTAATTCTAAAATAAAAAACAGGGTGTTCCATTAAAAATAATATAACTTTGTATATTTTCTCTTATGTGGGACATCCTGTATACATCTAACAAATTTTAAATTGTAGCCGTTTGTAACCTACGTATTCCTCCCAAACGAATTTTTTATATCTTTGGTCGTTTTCCCATAAAGCTCCGTCCCGTTGAGCGTGAGCCACCCTGTATATAGAAAACTAACAAATTAAAAAATCAAAATTACTTCAGTAGGTCGTAATGTTTGCAGAATTTTCATGACCCCAAAAATAAATTATTGTGAAATTTTTTAATCTACATTATTATTAATTATTTTATGTTATATACTGAGTAAATAAGAACTATGGAATCAAACTTCGAAAGGATATTTAGTTCAATAACATTTAAGTTCAATGTCTTTCTAAGATGCTTTAAATCAGTTATGTGAAAAAAATGTGTTGTTAAAATTAAAAATTTAATACGCAATCAAATACATTTCTTCACTTAACTGACTTAAAGCTACATGGAATCAGTATCTGACAAATATTTTATAATTGGAAAAACACTTTTTTTTTAATATCTGTAGGTACAGAAAGTGTCATAATTTAAATTATTTTTATTTTGTAATGAATAATAATTATTGTTATTTAAAGAAATCTGCAATTTGAATAGACGAAACAATTTTATATCTATGGAAAATAGCGTGATTCATGATTTTTAAAATAATCATTATTTTATAATTAGGATAGTTGTTTTTTAGGTTAAACTGGATAATTTGGAATAATTAATTCATAATTTCAATTTTTATATCTTTTAGTTTGAGTCTGTGTAATAGGTCTAGACTAAATACCTTGTATTTTATTTTTTAGTAACTATATTACCACGTGTTCTTTTATTTCAGTTGTTGTTAAATCAACACTGAAATGTGACGATGAACCAAAAGTTAAAATATTATAATTTTAAAAATTATCTTAGAATTTTTAAAAATTCGATGTAGTTTAAATACCTCGCCAGAACTGCATATTATGCATTTGCGGAATCTCCCCCAAAATTTCAATAAAATGACATGAAAATAAAAAATATTTAACACCGAAATGTGTCCTTTGAACATTTTAACAGAAATATCAAAGTTTTCAAGAATTGAAAAATCAAAAAAACCACGATATACAAATATCATTGAATTCCTCTTTAACAGCTCTATAAAATGGTTTTTATAAAGTCAACGTCGAGTTGACCGTACAGTATTTTCAGATTAAATTTGGGGGAATTTTAACAGAAATAAGTGTTTTTGTTAAATAACTTGAATATCGTTTCAACTAGGAAGAAGTCGTTTGCATCATTAAATTCCTTTTTAACAGATCTATAAAATGGTTTTTACTAATTTATGTTAGATTGTCTGTAGAGTAAGATAGTAGGATTGTCAGATTGAATTTTAAGAGAAAAATGTTTTTGTTAAATAACTTGACTATTGTTTAAACTAAGAAGAAGTGGTTTGCATCATTAAATTCCTCTTTAACAGCTCTATAAAATGGTTTTTACTAATTCATGCTAGGTTGTTTGTAGAGCAAGATAGTAGGATTGTCAGATTGAATTTTAAGAGAAAATTGTTATTGTTAAATAACTTGATTATCGTATAAACTAGGAAGAAGTGGTGTGCATCACTAAATTCCTCTTTGAAAGCTCTACAAACTTGTATAGTTTGTATGCTTAATACTAAACTCTCCTTTTACTATTGCTTTAAGACCATTGACTAAGTTGATTTGGTTCGAAGTTTTCCCGTCTATTACTATGGGGGGCATAGTGTCTTTTCTCTTGTTAGCTCTCATTTCTACTCGTGTGGGTTTGGCTGAGTGTGATGTCTGGCGTTTGATGTACTTGGCGCATCTAAGTCTTCCAGTATGAGAGGTTTAAATTTCTGACCTTTTTTTCGTTTCTTAACAATTTTTCCTATGTCATCATCCCCCCTCAGAGTCGGATTCATCCGTTAGGGGTTGAAACTGGTTTCTTGTGGGAGTAATTGTCTTTTTGGATTTTTCACGAATCAGTTTTTCAAAATTTTTACTGAACTTTTTCGGTGTTAGAAATGGAGTGACGTGTGACTATTGGAGTCATATTTAAGAATATCTTTAGCAATACTGCTAGGCACATCACTAGTATTTACTTCAATTCTTATTCTGGGGTCGCTATTTATTCTAGTTGATGTCGGATTATTTGGGTCTGAGAGTGTGGATGCTGGCTCTTGAGCGAGGTTACTCAATTCACCCCTCATTTGGGTGTTATTCGCACTTCCAGTAGGTGGAATGGATAATTTTGGGGGGAGGTTTAATCCTTGATCGGTGTTGTCCATTTTGTCCATTTTTTTCTGCACAACATTAGTCGGGAAAGGCAGGATTTTAAAGACTATATTAGGACGAAAGGGTTGGTGGTGTTCCTGGGGGATATTCGCCTGATTCGAGATTTTTGTTTTGATGTTCTGTGGTGTCCATTTTCTCTGAATCACCGGAGCTCTCGACTACGTTTAACAGTCTCTGGACCGAATTATCATGTTCATTTTGTTCATGTTGACTTTCTTGACTGTCTAGGAATTCTTCTTATTCCTCAGAATCAGCCGCGGACGACTTAGGAGACGTTTGAGCACCTTCTATGATGATTGTTTCGTCTATTTCTGGTGTTTCAAGTGTTTGGGGGTCATTTGAAGGTGACTCTCCAGAAATTTTTGCCTGGGGGGCTTCTAGCATTACGTTCTCAGGTTTTATGATAGGGCAAAGAGCGTCAAATATATTGGTACTCACATATGTTTGTCCAGTTCGTTTTATTTTGGTTTTAGTGGTTTTTGGTGAGTTCAACTTCAGGATTTTCTGGTATTGTGGCTGTGAAAACCGGCATCTGTTTTTAAGCCGTTTCAAATCCAAAAGCTGTGTGAACTACCGATACTGTGTGTACTTAACCTGGCACGTGAGAAAACTTTGAAGGGAAAAATTTTTTATGAATGACAGCTGGAAGAACTTCCACTTCTCCAAATTGTTTCTCCTTCAACCCAACCTTTTTTCTCCCTCTTAAGTCCATTTAACTTTCTCCCTGTCTACCCCTTTCATTATTTTATATTTATCTAAATAATTTTTTTTTCTATTACAGCAAACCTACTCTCAATTCCATGTGGAGCAGTTTTGGTATGGATATCTCCGGTTATTTCGATGTTAAAATCCAGCGATCCCGACATAAATCCTTTGGGAACTCCAATTACTACAGTGCAGCTTTCCTTGCTAGCATGTACACCATCTTTTTCTTTAATAATCACACCGTTTTTAATGGATCGGCTAGCAGATAAGCTAGGAAGAAAACAGTGGATGCTTCTTGCTTCTTTAATATTAATTTCTAGCTTAACAGTTATAGCATTCGTTGCTAATATTTACGTTTACTATATTAGTAGGTTTGTATATGGGATATCTAGAGATTTAATTATGATAAATACTAGCATTTACGGTAACGAAATAGCGGAAAAAAATAAAAGAGGAATGTTTACTTTGTTGTCATCATTAGGATATCCGTTTGGTATCATTTATGGATACGTATTTGGGTCTATTACAAATTTTACTACTTTTACTTTAATTTGCGCACTACCAGCAGTACTGCATGTACTTTTAAACTCATTAATAGTGGAATCACCGGTTTATTTGGCGTTGAAAAGGAAACGATTCGAATCATTGTTGGCTTTGGAAAAGTTGAGAACGTCCAGTGAAGATAAAGACATCGAATTAGAGCTAACTTTAATAACAGACGATATTAAAACTAATAATACATCTAGTAAACCTAGTTTATTAAGTCTTTTTAGTAGTAGACTTGGTAGGAAAGGTTTATTTGTATCGGCAGTACTAACGTTTACTCAAAAATTCTCAGGGATACATTTTATATTACCTTTTTTAGCTTCAAGCATCGATAGTGCTGGTATTTCTCTATCTGGAAATGCTATGAATATAATAATCGGTGTGCTACTATTCATTTTTTTTATCCTGACTGCTTTAGTTGTGGAAAAGATCGGTAAACGACCGCTTATATTGACATCTACCTTCACTTGTAGTATATCAATGTTATTTATGGGTATTTATTTTTATCTGACAGATATACAATCGAGTTGGGTAGCACATTTTAGATGGTTTCCGATACCGTGTGCTGTCATCTTCATAGTAGGGTACGGAATGGGTTTAGGTTGCCTAATTTTACCCTCAGCCAGTGAGTTGTTTTCTAATGAATTACGAGTGCTGGGGGTAAGCTTGTGTATGGGTCTCTCTGGGTTACTCGTGCTTTTCATTATGTTCACTTTTCCTATTATCAGTGAATCAGTCGGTTTATGTTATAATTTGTGGTTTTTTAGTTTCATATGTAGTATCGGTTTTGTCATATTGTATTTTATGTTCCCTGAAACTGTTGGTAAAAATTTTCATGAGATTCAAGAAATGTTACTTAGGTAACATTGTTTAGAGTAAAAATTGTATCCAGTAAAATATTAATGAAATGGAAAAGTATGCCCCTATAATTGTATGCTAACATCTTTATGTCGGAACTAAGTATAGTATTATATTGACATTTCGTGCCAAACATGTAAGGCTATTGTGATTTCAATATTTAGTGATAATTTTTGTATTTGTTCTAACTGAATTTTTTAATAAAATATGTATATTGTCTTAAATGATTTTATTACTATTTACCTTCACAAACTTTATCTCAGACCACACACACAGACCACACACACAGACCACACACACAGACCACACACACAGACCACACACACAGACCACACACACAGACCACACACACAGACCACACACACAGACCACACACACACCACACACACACCACACACACACACACACCACACACACACCACACACACACCACACACACACCACACACACACACACACCACACACACACCACACACACACACACCACACACACACCACACACACACCACACACACACACACACACACCACACACACACACACCACACACACACACCACACACACACACACACACACACACCACACACACACACACACACACACACCACACATACACATACACACCACACACACACATACACACCACACACACACATACACACCACACACATACACACCACACACATACACACCACACACATACACACCACACACATACACACCACACACACACATACACACCACACACACACACCACACACACACATACATACACACATACACTACACACACCACACACACACATACACACACCACACACACACATACATACACACATACACTACACACACCACACACACACATACACACACCACACACACACATACACACACACACACATACACACACCACACACACACCACACACACCACACACACACCACACACACACCACACACACACCACACACACACCACACACACACACCACACACACACACACACACACACACACACACACACACACACACACCACACACAACACACACACACACACACACCACACAGACCACACACAACACACATACACGCCACACACACACCACACACATACACGCCACACAAACACACCCACACCACACATCACACTCGCACCACACACACACCCACACACCACACTCACACCACACACAAACACCACACGTACCACACACACACACAAACACCACACACCACACGCAGGCTATTGTGATTTCAATATTTAGTGATAATTTTTGTATTTGTTCTAACTTAATTTTTTAATAAAATATGTATATTGCCTTAAATGATTTTATTACTATTTACCTTCACAAACTTTATCTCAGACCACACACAACACACACACTCACACATACACACCACACACACACATACACCACACACACACATACACCACACACACACACACACACACACACACACACACACACACACACACACACACACCCACACCCACACCACACATACACACCACACATACACACCCCACACCACACACACCCCACACCACACACACCCCACACATACACACCACACACACATATATACACACCACACATACACACCACACACACAAACACCACACACACACAAACAACACACACACACACAAACACCACACACACACACACACAAACACCACACACAAATACATACATACACACGCACCACACACACCACACACAAAAAAAATAAAATGTATGTAAGGCAAAGGTGGCTACAGAGAGGGGGTCATGGAGCATGGACTCAACAAATATTAACATATTGTTATGTTTAATTATTCTATTTTACATTTAATAAATAAAGCAACTTATTTTATAACTAATTTGTTTGTAATCAAAACTCAAACGGCAAAAGAATCCATTTATATACAAAAAAATATTATACTCCAGACAAATCCAGTCCTGTTTCGCAGACTTCTAGATGGTTCTTCCCCATGCATCCACACGTGTGCTAGAGTTTTCCAGCAACTTCCCGTTGGAGTCCATTTGTTTCAATCATCAAGCGGTAGCGGCATACAAACGGGCGGCTAGAATGGAACGAAAAAATCGTAAACGAAGATCAGGCTTAAACCGGCACGACAATATTACACATCCAGTGCAACAACGTAAGTTCAAAAATATTTCAGAAGTGATAATAATAATAATAATAATAATAATAAAAGCACTTTATAGTTATGAATATTACAACCAAATGGCCATCGACTTAGGTCCTTCAGCCAGTACAATTTGTATAGTATGTATGAGGATTATGTGTAAGATGAATACGAATATTAAGATACTTAAAAAAAAACAATATGTGTCACTAATTATTGTTCATCGGCAAATTCGTTTAAGATTTCTGTTATTGATCTCACTGGGTATTTAAACTTTGCTTGACCAATTTGTCGTTGCATCGAAAAAATGTTTATTAGCATGTAATTGTTTCGTTTCTTCGAGAAATGTTTTGTTAGTTTTCTAATTCTTTCCAGGATAGGCTGAATCTTAGTTTTTTCGTAAAGATATTCATTCGCTGGATGGTGAGTAGGGTTTTCAGGATGTCGCATCTTGGTAATGATTCTTAGTGTGGAAGTTTCGGCCACTTGAATGTTTTTTAATGCAGGTTTTCGAGAGTTTAAATATTTCAGAAGTTTCAGGCAAAATCTTTTTTATAGCTAGTAAAAGTTTCTGCAATTTCTTAAACTTAAAATGGAATAGATTTTATCTTGAACACGGTAAGCCTGCAAATAGACAGTGAGAAATTAATCAAAAATATTTTTTATATATGAAGATTTTTGTTGGATTTATTGACAATTCCTCAATCTAAAAAAATTAATATCCCTAGATATTAATCAATTTCATATCGCATCCTATCATGTCTTTCAAATGCAGAATGGGAATAGACAGAATAAATCAAAAATAACAAAACCGATGGAGAGTTTGTTTATTTATTTATTTTTAGTTAATTAAAAAATAAAGAATATCTTATGTCTAAACATATGTATATTCCAAAACAGTAAGGTATACTTTTACTTACCTTTGTTTTACAAGCCATAATCATAGTATTTCTTCAAGCCTGTAATGTATTTGTCCGCCTTGGTGCAGACTTTATTTTTCTCTTTAAATACATTTTACCCATACTCAAGACTTATATAGGTGTGGGTGGAGATATGTCATAAGTCTTGATATGTGTAAATGATATTTAGAGTAGAGGAAACAATAAAGTCTGCCTCAAGGCAGATACATGGATTGGGTTAATAAACTCTTTAAAATATGCATTGTTTTCAAGTACAGTCTGTATACCTGTTCAAATTATAACAAACGATTTTAGAGGACGGTTGATTCCTTTTTAATCTGAAACTTTTTATATTTTCTCTTACCATATTTCTTATTAACACTAAATGTTTTATGATTTCAGAAATTGAAATTCAATCATCCAGCATTAAAGTGATATGGGAATTATTTATTCAAGGTAACTGCAGCATGGAGAAATGACACCACTTCCTAGAAATAACTTCAATTTCAATGGTAATTAAATAAAACTGACTGCTTGTTTCGCTTTTTACAGAGTTACCTCTTCATGTAAATGACATTTTAATTTCGTTTTAATTAAAAATCACGCATCCAAGTTGTACTATCAAAAGAGAAACTGCAGCTTTTCTTTTTAAATTGTTTAGTCTTTAACTCTAGATTGACAGCGTTACTCAGTGGTCTTTTGTTTCCTGCAATACGTGTTCATTTTAAAAAGATTAAGATTAATAATGTAACAGTTACAAAACATTTAAAAATCGTAATATATTTTACATGTGTTATTGTGATGCTTGCCACATACTTAGAAAAAGGTTTCATGCAAATCACACATTTTATTTTCTTTTTTGCTATAAGAACTCATGAAAATACTTTCAAGTTCCTTCTTGGATAGTGTTGGTCATAGATTATTGTGAATTTCCTCCCACTTTGGAACTTATTTAGGAACTATAAAAATAACAAAAACGTCGACACACTTTTTACGCTATTCAGTCGACAGACTAAAGAAAGCATATCTAAAACGTCGATGTGATAGAAACGGAGGGTAGGGAGATATGGAAATATACAAGTCAAATGGGGGTACACTGACAATCTAGGGTTAAATGATGTGAGTGCATTTACAGATAATCTTGAATATTCAAAATGGTTAATTGTTTAATTTTGCGATGTCTATGATTTTGTAATATAGGAATTACAAAATGATTCAGATTGTAAAAAGAAATTTGATGCTAGATTTATTGTAAATTTATGTCGTTGTTAAATTGTTATTATATAGTGAGGGGAAATAAATTCGATATTTTTCTGGCATTATGTTCACGAAAGTGGTGACGTCATTAGTACATCCGATTGTAGTTTGGTTAAAATGCGATTAGAAAGTTATCAAATTTATTCCAACCTATACATTCTCGAATATTTATGTGTAAATGTTACGTTGGTCAGCGTCGTAGCTAGGGGGTAGCCCCGGAGACGGGTGCCAGCGACGCAGAGCTCCTGACAGTTATTATGATTTGTAATTTCAAATACAAAAACTTCTTTTTATGGTACCTAAAAAATCTCATTTTCTTCTAGTTGGTAGAGGTATAGTCGTGATATCTTCTAAAGAGGGAGAAACGGAGGTACACAATGATAGAAAACAGAGTGAAATCGGCATTGTCGATCGCAGTATTTAGAAATATGACGATTTTCTTCAAAACTATAAATTGAGAGTTGCTATTAATCATATTGAACACCATAGAAGACGATAATGGTGAGTTTTTTTTAATTGCAGGTTATAGAAACTCTAAACTGATATAATTCTTAATAAACTTGTTGATTAATCTCATTCTTAACATACTATAACTTTTTAACTCTGTAGATTTTGATTACCTATTGTTTTATGTTTTATTTCTCTTTTGATTAATGTTTTTCACTTGTATGAAGTCGAGCTTAATTGACGCTACTTCTTAGTAATACAATTTAAAATCAAGCCCTCTATATCAGTTGACAAATGAGGATATGCATAGAAGTAACATGATCATGTATGGCATTACTTGTTTCAACTGTTAAAAAATTAATTATCCTTTGTGTCAGAGCACATTATTGTCTTGCTTTACATTACATTTTTTGTTATAAGTTCTAAGTACACAGTCGAATATTCTCTCATTAAAAAGAAAAATTAAGTTGTAAAAGTTAGTGATATAATTCAAATAGATTTTACATTCACCAAGTGTTCAGAATCTACAGTTTATAAGCGTTTTTATTGCAGAAAATGGTTTGTTTTGTGTTTTATAATACAATGGCAATAAGTAGCTCCGGAGCATTTAATAGGGGATTATTGGACAACGAATTGGACCAACATACCAATTTGTAGCTTTATTCAAATTTTTCATAAGTAACACCATGTCCTAAACTCTTAATTGTTTAGATTACCTGTCTAAAACATGGAGGAAGGTCTAAAATTCGTATTTGTATGTATTTCCAAGAAATTTTAGGTTATATTAGGTTATTTCGTTCTTCTCTATTTTCAATATTTTCATTGCCTTTGTCTTGAAGAAATTTGGTATTCTTCTTTTTTATTTGTCATTTGCGTTGGCCTTCATCTTATACAATAAGAAGTTAATAAATTGGCTAAATTATTGAATAAAAATAGGCTAGTGGTAATTGGCCGATTTTCTTTAAAAAAGAGGCCAGTGATTTCACAATGGTAAAGAAGAAGAGTGACAGGTGACTGATGACAGATTATATTTGAATTTAAATTTCCATTTGTAATATCTTGAATACAGTTGGATAAATATTTTAGGTATAAAATATTTTCTGTCAGAAAAAAATAACACTGCTAGGGCAAATGGTTTATAAAATATACATGAGGATTAAATGTGGAGTGTAGTTTCAAAACTTTGTAGTTCCTGTTAAGTGATTTCTCAGAATTGGAAAATCTAGGACTTCAAAATTACTAAAGTTTCAGATCTGCTAATACATAAGGTACTTCAAAGACATTCTAAGACAATGTTTAACTACTTATTTAAACTTTTTTGGCAGGTAGAAAAACAAATACAGTAAAAAATATGTTGAACTTACTGTTTTAAACTGCACAGCCTATTTTACGGATTTTGATACAACAAAATAATGGAAAATTATAGTTTCTTTTATTAAACACAAACAAGTGACAACTTTCGCCTTATAATAAGAAATTAAATATTCTGGTAACACAAGTTACATCTTTCACCTTTTCTATTAGGCAAGGGCGGCTCCAGTGAGAGGGGGCCTTGTGGCATGGAGTTAGCAAGTTTTGAAACTGCACTCCTCAAATATTAACATATTGTTATGTCTGTTTATTTTAAACCCTTTAATTATTATAATTTATATTTACTAAATACACTTATTTTATAACTTATTTATTTGTTATCAAAACTAAACTCAAATGGCAAAAGAATTCATTTATACAAACAAATATTATGTTTCAGACAAATCCAGTCCTGTTCCGTAGACTTGGAGATGTTTTTAGATGGACCTTGTCCATGAATCCACACCTGCGCTAGATCTTTCCAGTAACTTTTCATAAGAGGTCGTTTGTCTCGATCGTCCAGCGGTGGCGGAACACAGACGGGCAACTTGAAAGGTAAACAAAGTAAGTGGTGGCACAACAATATTACACATCCAGTGCAACAACGTATGTGCAAAAATATTTCAGAAGTTTCAAGGAAAATTGATTTTTATACCTTGTAAAAGTTTTTGCATTTTCTTAACTCACAATGCAATATATATTATCTTGTAGATAAGGGTGGCTATTTTTTTTGAGTCTGGTACGAAAATATGTTAATTTATCATGTTTTAAAACCCCCTCCAAAAGTGCAGCTCAAAAAAATTTTTTAAAAGGTCAAAATTCGATTTATTAAATTATGCTTTCATTGTTGTATTTATTGGATTTTTTTCTGTCATGATAAATTCTGAATGCTACTTAAAAGCAAAAATTGAAATTAATTCTTAATATTACGATTTACAAGGTCGCTCAAAAACATCAAAAGCAATAATGTTGTATATAATAAATT